TGCTGCTGCTGCTGTTGCTGCTGCTGCTGCTGCTGCTGCTGCTGCTGCTGCTGCTGTTGCTGCTGCTGCTGCTGCTGCTGTTGCTGCTGTTGTAGCTGCTGCTGTTACCGCTCCTGCTGCTCCTGCTGCTATTGCTGCTATTACTGAAATTGCTGCTGTTGGTTCTGTTGCTATTGCCGTCGCTTCTACTCTTCGTGTTGTTGGCTGGTTTGCGGTTGGTTTTCATTTCACTTTGAGCCGCTTTGCCAGTTGAAGTGAGGACTAAGCGCAGTTTAGCCTGCAGCTTCTGCTGCTGCTGCTGCTTCTTCCCCGTTTTTTGTTGTTGCTTGTTTGTCTGCAAATACATTTGCTAAAAGGCAGCACAGCAAACAGCAGGCGGGCCATAGTTGTGATAGTTGTTCGGCATAGACATTGCGAATCGCACACAAAAGGCAGTTAAAAGCTTATGAACCCAGCAGGATGCGAGAGTTGCTACAAATGCGAGAGCATGATAAAGCAACAGCAGCAACAACAACTGCAACTGCAACAAAAACAATCAAATATGTTGTTGCTAAACTGACAGCACAGCATGGGCAGCGCACATGCTGCGGCGGGGGCGTGGCCATCAAGGGTCTGGGTGAGTGCAAATAAAGCTGCTTGTTAAGGTCAAAGTAGGAGCTGAAGACAGCGATATCAACAACATTACAAACAGCAACAGCGGAAGGGAGTCAGCAACAGCAACAGCAACAGCAACACCACCCACAACAGCAACATCAACATCTACAGCAATCAATTTTTCGAAAATTCCCGCAACTATTGCTGTTGTAACAAAAAATTTCAACAGCAATCGAAATGCATTGCACAAATTTTAACAAATATTTTGCTTACATTTGAACTATATTTGCTTTTCACACGTACATTTACACATGCATACATATGTATGTGTCTATTGATATACATACATGCGTATATTTTGACAGCCAAAGCCCAAAATGTGAAAAATGTTTTGCGAATTGAAACATTTATTTTGTTTTATGTACATATGTTGCCAGGTTGCCAGTTAAGCCCTAGCAGCAACAGCAATAGCCACAATAATAACAATAAAAACAGCAACAACAACAATAACAGCTTCTGTCAAATCAGTTTAAAGGTTTAAGCTTAACAAATGCAAAATATACTCTAAAAGAGTTGTTCCAATGAACCAATATTCAATATTGTTATTTATAATAATACAATACAAATAATAAAAAAGAAATTTTATTTTATATTATATATAATTATATAAGTTCTAAGCAATTCATTTATTTCATATAAAATCCATTTCTTAACCTATTCACTTGGTTAGAGTATATTCTATTCGTCCTGCAAATTCTTTACTATCTATCACATAAGCTCAATGCTACATATTTTATTTCCGCTCGAATGAAAGCAACTAAGCTATATGATTTTTAAAAAATATTTTCTTTTAGCTAAAACTGAATTTTAGAAATTGTACTTTAATTTAAATGTAAATTGAAATGGTGCGAAAAAAAAACGAAATAATTTAAATGACATTTAATCAGCAATTTGATTTGCATTCCTATTTTTTTTTACTTTGTTAATTAACATTGTTTAATTGTTTAACAAATTGCAATTTGCAGCGCTTTGAAATTGACTAAAAAAAATATGGCGCACAAAAATCAGTTGTGAAAATTGCGTATACGCCCGAATTAACCGCACTTGAAGCGTTAATGAACAGGAACTGCATAAAATGCAAGCAATTAAAGTAACTAAACGGGATAAAGTGAAAACTGATAGACAGAGAGATACTCTGTAGATTATATATTATATTTTTTTCTGTAAAATTTTTGGAAAACGTGAAGAGCTGAAGTTTAAGTACTAGATATATAAATGATATATGATTTTTGAGCACAACTAAAAGTGATATACCAAAGCATAGCCTGCATATATACTGTATGCGAAATACCTTCAATTTGATCTTCTTTCTAACGCTATAAATCTACATGTTGTTCAACTCCAACTGGCTGCAACTTCTGTCAACTCGCACTATCTCACATTTCATTCAGTTCTAGGGCATGTTGAATGCTAAAAAAAATGCTTTACCAACTTTGCAATTAAGTGCAACAGCAACAGCAGCAACAACAACAAGGACCGCAATGAGAGCAACATGCAAATAATGCATTATGTAAACATCGAGCAACATTTTACGAGTGGCTGCGGCTGCTGCTGCTGCTGCTGCTGTTGCTGTTGCTGTTGCTGCTGCCAGCCAAAAAGGAGGCGTGACTGGGCAGGAAACAATAGCGCCACGGCGTCATCCGCAGACATATGTAAATAACTGTGTCACAGAGCACGAGAGCCGAGACGGACAGCGGGTAACTTGTCAGCTCGAATGGCTCAGCGCCAATTTTCACCTGTCGGCAAAAGGCGGCACGCTTTTTGTAGCTCCTCTTCTACCCCAGCTGCTGCTGCTGCTGCTGCTGTTCAAAGAGCAACACCCACACACAGACACGCACATTTTGCTACATTTGTTATTGCTGCAGCTGTTTTTATATCCCAACAGCTGTTGGTGTTGTTGTCTGATGATTTTGCTATTTACATTTTTTTTTTCTCTCTTTTCCGCTTCAAGTTGATTTTTATTATTTTTTTTCTTTTTTGTTTTCAAGCGTAATTATATGATAATTATGAATATATTTTCGCACATATTTACACAAGGCATTTAATTGTTGCAAGTGGCATGTGGCATGTGGCAAGTGGCAAGTGGTAAAATGGCAATTGGCAGCGAACTGGCTAAAGCAATTTGTCTGTGACAATTGAGGCAATATTTGTATGACAAATTATGCGAACATAATGAAAATTAATTAACATTTAAGTAGACAAATCTTTGGCACTTGCTTCAAAGAATTTGCATGAGCTTGACATTTATTTGAATATATATATAAAAGATATTTTTTTTATTTTATTTATTTATTTTTTATTTCTTTTTCCATCTCTTTCATCTCATCTCTCAAGTCTGCCCACGTAGAAAGGCCGCCAGCTAAATCTCGCATTGCTTTTTATTTTTATCTTATTTAGCTATTTAGACCACGCCCCCTCGCTGCTACGCCTTCTTGGTTGAGCAATTATTTGCTTGAGCGTTAATTAAATGTGTCCTGCGCAATTAGGAAAAGGTGTGCGCCCCAAAGCAAATGCAAGTGGAAATGGAAATGGAATGAAAAATGAAAATGAAAAATTTAAACGAAATGCGCCACGAAATGCAATTAAAAGCTGACAAAACAATAGCTATGCAAAAAGTGCAAATTAAATGCAACAAATTGTTGCCATTGCTGCGGCTCGTTGCTGTTGCTGTTGCAATTGTTGCTATTGCTATTGCTGTTGCTGTTGCTGGTTTCAATTAGCCAGCCGCAATGGCCAGCGACCATTTGGACACACGATTGGATAAACAATTGGACAAACTGGTTCAGAAATCTGAAAAAGCGGCATTGGCCCTTTAACAAAAATTCTGTAAATATTTAACAAACGGCACAAAGCCAATTGGTGATGCTGATGTTGTTGTTGTTGTTGTTGTTACTGTGTTGTCAGTGGTGCAGCTGGCAAAGCCAAAACACAAACGCTATTAGCCATGGTCAGTGCACGAGTCGAGTAAAGTCTGTATTTACCAACACTTGCAAGTGTAGCACATACGTCGAGTGCACTGAGAGAAATTT